TTCAAGTGCGTTCATGGGATCCTTGATTTCTCTGTTGAGTATACTTTTATCTAACTACTAACTACTGCCAAATATGGTTAGTTGACCAAGAGTTGGCTCAGTTCAAAGCTACAATTCTGAGATTTGAGAACTTCGACTTTGCTGCTTCAAGTCCCACCCCAGGACTGGAATGCATATTCTCAGCTGACTCTCAGAGTAGCATTGAGAGAGTATTCCAGGCCCAGAGGGACCATTTAACGGACAAAACATTAAATGAAAGCCATGTCTGGTTGGATCACTTCGCACTATTCAGAGATGTTCTCCAAGAGTCTTTTCTAATTAACATCGCTCAATCATATCACCTCAAAAAAAATCAGTTGGATATTTATCTCCGTTGGTCTTTGTGTGGCATTGTTCTATGCAAAATCACTTTTATATCTGTGTAGACATCAAAGTTTAATCTTTTGTTTGTGATACCCAATGTGACATCTGCAAAATCTTCAAATCAACTATAAGGACAAATTTTCCTTTCTCGGCTATTTTTCACTGAGTGGGGAAGGAAGTGATGTGGGTATAAAGACCAACATAGATGTTGGGCTGAATAGCCTGTTCCTGTGCTGCATGTTAAATGTAAACCATGCTGACTAATTGAGTCTGATGTGAGGCTTATCCTGGTGAAAGAAAGCTACTTACAGGCAGCTTTGTTCAGATTCTCCAAAGTAAATAGGCTGTAAAGTAAATTGGCTGTACACATAAACCCTGAGGTTTGCAGTACCTATAGTCAGTCTTGAATGTTTTGCGAATCTATTGGAAATAATAGCCTCAACACAGCTTTCTTCCTGGTCATTGTTGCTGATGATGTTCAGATATACGTCACCATGGCAAGTGCTTTGCCATGCAATGGATCAAGGATCAAGGGTAAGAGAATTAATGCCTTTATTAACTTGTAAACAAAAAATTCATCATGGACATTGTAATCCGTGTTTGTATTTAAAATCTGAACTCGTAGTAATGTACTGACAATTCGTTTACCTCAGCACAGACACTCCAAATACACATTTCATGCCTTTGTCAAGTTCACAATTTCAAAGTAAGTGTTTAAATTTAGTAAGTAGATCGATTGTCCACTGTCTTGCTTGTGTTCGAGTTCCCACTTGTGATCGTTGCAAACACCATGCATGTTTGGAAAGGGGGTGCACAGTCATAGTCATAGAGTCATACAGCACGGAAACAGACCCTTTCAGGCCAGCACGTCTACGCTGACCAAATATCCCAATTTGACCTAGTCCCATTTGCCAGCATTTGGCCCATTTCCCCCTAAACCCTTCCTATTCATATACCCATCCAGATGCCTTTTAAATGTTGTAATTGTGCCCATCTCCACCACTTCCTCTGGCAGCTTGTAGTAAGGGCGTGGAATGCCCTGCCTGCAAAAATAGTAGACTCGCCCACTTTAAGGGCATTTAAATGGCCATTGGATAAACATATGGATGATAATGGAATAGTTTAGGTTAGATGGGCTTCAGATTGGTTTCACAGGTCGGCGCAACATCGAGGGCCAAAGGGCCTGTACTGCGCTGTAATGTTCTATGTTCTATGTTCTATACATGTACCACCCTCTGTGTGAAAACGCTACCCCTCAGGTACTTTTTAAATCCCTCCCTTCTCACCTTAAACTTATGCTTCCAGTTTTGGAGACCCCACCCCAGGAAAAAGACCATGGCTATTCATCCTATCCATGCCTCTCATGATTTTATAAACCTCTATAAAGTCACCCCTCAACCTCTGATGCTCCAGGGAATAAAGCACCAGCCTATTCAGCCTCTCCCCATAGCTCAAATCCTCCAATCCCAGCAACATCCTTGAAAATCTTTTCTGCACCCACTCCTGTAGAAGAGTGATCAGAATTGTATGCATGTTCTAAAATTGGCCTCACCAATGTCCTGTACAGCCGCAACATGACATTCCAACTTCTATACTCAATGTTCTGACCAATGAAGGCAAGCATACCAAACACTTTCTTTATCACCCTGTCTATCTGCGACTCCACTTTCAATGAACTATGCATCTGCATCCCAAGGTCTCTTTATTCGGCAACACTCCCAGTTCTTGTGCTCATTTGAATTATTACCAGCATGAAATTAACTAACTCAAACTGAAACTGAGAATGGGAGAAAAGTACACTTCAGAACTAGTGGAGAAAGAAACAGACCTAACCTCTCAGTCAGTAAGCTTTCTTCCGGACTCGAGGAACATAGGACTAGACTAAAGGAGCAGAAGTAGCTATTCGGCCCTTCAGGCCTGCTGAGCCATTCAAGATATGGATGTGATCTTGACTCCATCTTCCTGTCTGCCCCACCCTCACCAACCCTTCCATGGCCTTTGGCTCGCTCGTCTATCCAATACATTTCTAACGCAACCTTGAATAAATTCAATGACCAAGCCTTTACTGTTGTCCGGGGAAGAGAATTCCACAAACTAATGACCATCTGAAAAAGCAAATTCTCCTCATCTTCATCTTAAAAGAGGGACCTCTTAGTCGTCAACTGTGTCTCCTGGCTCTCGTCTCTCCCACAAGAGGAAATGTCCTCCTTTTATCCACTCTGTCAAGAGCCAGAGGTTCAGCAGTGACAGGGAATTAAATGGAAAGGTAGAAGAGGAGAACAAGAGGAAAATAAGTGTGGTTGTGACCAGAAGCTGCACTCTTAAAACTTGAAGGGTGGAATTTATGTTGGAATCCAGGTGGAATAAGTCAAAGCCAGAGACAGGTGCTGAGCAAAGTGATGTGAGACTGTAAGATGTAGGAGAGGAAGTAAACCATTCAGCCCATCGAGCTTGTTCTGCCATTCAATGAGATCATGGCTGAACTGATAATCCTCAGTTATGACATGGTTATAAAAACAAGTTTCAGTGGTTATCTGATCGCACATGAGAAGGGAAACTGAAAGTCAAGTAGGTAAACAAGATAAAAGAGACAAATAGAAATCCTTTCATAGAGAAGTTTTTTTATATTCTTTATTCATCCATGGGATGAGGGTGTCACTGACCAGGCAGCATTTATTGCCCACCCGTAATTGCCCAGAGGGCAGTTATGAGTCAACCACATTGTTGTGGGTCTGGAGTCACATGTAGGCCAGACCAGATAAGGATGACAGTTTCCTTCCCTAAAGGACATTTGTGAAGGGTTTTTCCGAAAATCAATAATGGATTCATGGTCTTAATTAGACTGTTTATTCCAGATATTTATTGAATTTGAATTCCACCATCTGCCATGGCAGGATTCAAACCTGGGTCCCCAGAACGTTATCTAGGTCTCTGGATTAACAGTCCACTGATAATACCACTTGGCTATTGCCTCACTGCAAAACTTCTTTAATTCTTTGAAGAGAAATAGCAGTAAACTTGACCCTAAATTACCAACTGACTGACTTTGGGTGCTAAATTAGTTTACCAGTTGACTGGTCATTTGGTGTAAAGTTTCTCACTCTTGCCAACACAACTTGTCATGTGGTGAATGAGGATTTACTTTTGGCGCTGTGAATGCAAATGATTGCAATAACAGCATTTCCTCATTATTCCTGCTGGTCACAAAACCCTGCTTTGAGGTTTTCTTTCTCTGATTCATAACCACTATTCAGGATATACATGTCCTAAAGTAACAAAACATATAATAGGTGAGAAAGTGGTTGCTGTCTTACAATACAGTGGTACGGCTGGTATAATGTGGGCATGTGTACTCTCTCTTTTGTGAGGCTCTGCTGTCAAAATGTTTGAATGGGGCGTGGTTAAAAAAGGAAGAAAAGATAAGATGCAGTTTGTTTTAGAAAGCATTGTTTTTGATTATCAAGGCCGTAAGCTTTGGAATTCCGTCCCTTCCCTGTCTCACTACCTGTCTTTAAGATTCTGTTTGAAACCTACCACTTTGTCCAAAAATTTGATCCTGACAGCTCCTTGTCTGGCTTAGCAACACATTTTCTTTTTAATTGCGCTGCTAGGAAGTGTTTTGGGATGTTTTTACAATGTTAAATGGTTCTAAAACAATGCATGTTGTTGCAGAAAAGAGTCCTTGGAGAGAGAATGGTTTAGTATAGTTCAATCACAGAACGTACAGAATGATGCTAGACAAGGAAGTATAATACAGTAACATTCTCACAATAACTTTGAAGCTGAACCAAGGAAATGCTGGCTGACACGCCAACACCCCACCTCACCCCACCTTACAGGACATCTGTAAGAAACACAGAAATACTCAGTTCCTATAAGGGGTCACGTGCAACCATTCTCACTGTCACCAGAGAAGGAACTCTGTACAACGGTACTTACGAAACTTTACAACATATTGCCCAAATAAGCTGCAATAAGTTTCCCAAATAACCTCTGAAATCTTTGTGATAAAGCCAGCATTAAAACTTGTGGTGTTTCACTTGTTCTTTATCTTCATACAGAAATAAGTCAGTATTTTAGCATAGTGGTCAAGCAGCATCATAGGAGCAGAGAGGCTGACGTTTCGGGCCTAGACC